CCCCAAAACCCCAAAACCCCAAAACCCCTTGGGGGTGTGTTTTAATTGAAAAATCGAATTAATTTATTTATCTTTTATCTTGACTAAATTTAAAACTCTAGTCACACCATCCGAAGTTTTAATGATATCAGACACAATTATTGAGTAAAATATTTGGATAAGAATCTAATACTCGCTCTCAAAGTGAGACAATGATCTGTTCTTGATACAATCCTTGATGTGACTACAGGTAATCACCATTTTATCCATGCTCTTGCCTAGGAAGTGATACAAAACTTTATCGTAATCAATTGGCTTGTCTTGGTACTCTTTCTTGATGATTCTCTTTAAAGCCTTGACTTCTCTAAAGGAGAACTTCTTGTTACTTAATTTCTTGACTCTGTAGACCAAATTTTTAAATTTGCATTTCCACTGGATCTTCTCAGCCAAAGCTGCCACTCCTTGGTTACTGTCGGCTTCAGTTTCAGCATTCATTGCGAGGAGGCTTTCAAGCTGGAGAACCCCCTGCTTCTCAAGAGATCTAATAGCTGCGAAGAGTTTCTTATCTTGGCATTTGCCCCATCTAATCATTCTCCTTTTGTCCTTAGGTGAAAGAGGAAAGTTGAATTGAGCTTTCTCATCAGCTTCTTCAACTCCGAAGTCATCGTCAGGCTGAGCTTGCTTGTCTTCTTCAATTTGAAGCTTTGACTTCAGTTGCGTGTCTTTTTCTATTAAATTCTCAGGCTTAGTTAGTTCCTTTTTAAGCTCCGATTGGTCTCCAATACTTCTTTTACAATTTAAAGGACTAACTTTGGGGTCTGGAGGAGGCATCAGAGTTCTCTGCAGCATATTTACATGTTTTGATGCAGTTTTATTGATTTCGAGAGAATTGACTTGCACTGATGGTTGAGCTATATTGCACTCCTGAACTCCTTGGATCAATTCTATAATCTCTAGAGTCTTTACTTTCTGATTAGTAAGCAGAGGTTTAGTCTGGGTCTTTTTCATAATCGACTTTGAGAGATCTTGAACACTTCAGTGAACGAATTGTTTATGAAACTTTGTTGAGTTGAATCTCTGAAAAGCCCATTCAATTGGCTCTTGGTATTCTCCATATCAATTTTGAGCCTGTTAGGATTGATTATGGCAAATAACACAGCAAAACAGAATTTTAAATGGAACACCAAATCAAATTGTTCAAATGAATTGAAAATATAGTGAGACAATGAGTAAATGAAATGGATCCAACTTCTCATAACTAGCTTTTATTCAATCGAAAATTCTAGAAAATGCTCAAAGAGGCTTTTACGATTTAAAGAAGCCATTTAATGAGCCTGAATAATTTCTACCAACCCCTATTCTTCCAAAACTGGGTGTTTGCTTACAAATACTTAAAAGTGTTATTCTCTCATACTCGAAATTCAAATGTAAAACCATCGTGAGCTTACCTGTAAAGAGTCGGAGGAAGTCACCATCTGTTTGGGTCAGACTTCAGGATCCATATATAGTTTGTCTCTCAGGCCTACTCAAAGTTATTATTCCAATCGGAATAAGTTCAAAAATCTGAGGCAGGAATTATAGATAAAAGTTATAGAAGTAGTCATGATGTAAAGAAGTAAGGATACTAGTACATCTAAGAATTTTGGTTTTGTAAGTCAAGTTTGAAGGTCATGGTAATAATACTGAGAGGAAAGGTAGGCCTAGTAGCTTAAGATCTTATCATACAGTCTCTGTTCTTTAGGAGCTTTGTATTTTTGCATTTTTGCATTTAAGAAGCTGAAGTCTTTGGCAATCTTTGGAAACTTATGTATTAGTTGCCAGTTGATACAAAATTCATTAAATCAAATTTAGAGATGCTTAGATAACTAAAACAACTGTGCAAAGCATAAACATACTTGAAGCAACTCTATCTCACATCGATGTATCATCTATTAATGAGCAAAGCAATTGTGGCACAAAAAGATTCAGCGAATTTGGAAGCTTGGGAATATTGATGGAATCTACTAACCAAATCTTGGCTCTAAGGATTCTGGATGTCTACGAGTCGAGTTTCACAAACCCCTGTTTTGAGAACTTAGGAGCCCCAACAAATCTGGGATGGACAGGCCTATTGCTTGATATGAATAAGGTTTATTTTACTTGCATCTCTGGACGCCATATTATAAATTAAAATATTCCAAGTTCTAGTTCATCAACCCAGCTATTCTTTAAGGGGTTTTGGGGTTTTGGGGTTTTGGGGTTTTGGGG